ATGATAAATTAATGAATATATATTATTTAGAATGTATAATCAAGATTACTATGTGATGAATAAATAATAATATTTATCTAAAATAATATTAAATACATTAATATCAAGTATAGAATTTAATGCATTTTATAGGTTATAAAATATAAATTCAGTATATTGAATTTATTAAAAGTGAATACATAATTTTTAATACATATATATATTTACTATAGTTATTATGAAAAATATATATATATATATATTAACAATGATAAACTTATTGAACGCATTTTAGTTATCAGAATCATGCATATTTAAATAAATTTTAAGAGAAGAATCTATGTATCATAAATGATAAATCATATATTAGATTATTATTTAAAATATATTCCAAAATACATATATAACTACTAATCATACAAAAATTTCGGACATTCATTAATATATAAAACTAAAAATTCTCTTTGATAACATAAAAACATTATTCGGATTTAGAATTATAAAACATGCTTGAGGATCTATCTACGTTAATACCAATTATGATGACACGTGTATTAATATATGTATAAAATTTCTTTAAAAATATTTAANNATATATTAAAACATATAAAAAGATATATATCAATATGTTAATAATATTATTTATAAATATATAAATAAATATAACATCTAATCATCGTAATTCATATTTTACTTTTGTAAAGAGCATTTATATTTCTTGTTTCCATAGTAAACGCATATAATATACACCAGATAAGAATATTTTTATAACATTACAATGTATTATAAGACTAAATATAGTAATTAATATATTTTACAAAATGGAGAATGGTTTAACCATTTTATTATATAATGTACCTTGAAAAATATTATTTTAATAAACTTGAAATGAATTTTATTATATAATACGGAATTATGATGCATGATATGATAAAGTTTATATAAAATAAGATAATTTTGATTAAATGACGATTTTGTCTCTAATATGATATAATGAATACATAATATTTTGTATGCTCATACAAGGATAAATATAAATAATAATTTTCACGTAATAATTATTTTATAATAAGAAAATAAAATACATATAATCAGCATAATCTAAAGTAATATCTCAAAATATGTAATTAATGAAATTATAAAAATAATATTTTAACTTGATTGACATTTAAGTGAAAAAAAAATGAAAAAAAAAAAACTACTTTTAAAAAACCTAGTTCAAATAATAATAAATTTAAAAATAGATCGACATAAAAAATAACAAAATAGGATTATATAACAACTGATTATTAATAAATGTTTATTATTAAACAACCAATACTAGAATATATAAAAATTACGTGAAAAAAAACTCACACTCTTTATTAAAGTGATATATACGTGATCATTAACTATTTTTTAATGAAATTGCTTTAAACGCTTAATTTAAATAAGATTATATAATGATGTATATATTTTAATAATATATAATTATTAAAATAGCAAAATACAATTAATAAAGTTATAGTAGATATAAAAAAAAAGTAACAAAATAATAAAAATTAATTAATGTATCCAAGAAAAAAACACATAAATAATACAAAACATATAAAATATATATATAAATAAAGATTTATATATAAATATATATTATAAAAAAATATACAACAAAAAAATATATTAAAAATAGAAAAATAACAAATAAAGAATATATATAAATATTATAAATTAAACATAAATATAAAATAAAAAAATATACTAAAAAAAAAATAATAAATAAAACACTAAAATAAATCTTTAAATAAATAATACCTATCCTAATACAATGGATACTGAACCCTAAACCTAAACACTGAACCCAGAACCATAAACCCTAAAGCATTAACTTGTTTTGAATAATCACTATTATTTTATTTAGCATAAATTCCCCTGTGACAAATATATTAAAGCATTATCGTCTAAAATCTATAAATTTTTCCATATGCACTTGTGTTACTAATTATATGTATTATTCAATGAAATATATCAAATTATAATTAAAAAAGTAAAAATGTATATATAATATGAAATGTATGATAGAATTTTTCATAGAACATTTGTATATACATGTAAAAGATATAATTCATTTTCTCCCATAATAACTATTTTAAAATGATACATAATTTTATATCTTGTACTCAAGTTATTAATATGTAAAATTACTTTATAAATATGTATTCCTTATATTATTTGATATATAATTTACGCAAATTATAATAGTTTAGCATAGTAGCGCTATATCATTCTATATATAATGACAACGTCGTTACTAAATTTAAATTAATAGATCTTACATATATAGATATTCAATATTTTTAATAATAAATTAAAATTTCTCTGAAAAGTGTTAGTATAAATAAAAAGTAATATATATATATATATGAATCTGTATAACATATGTTACCACTGTATACTTTTTTTCTTTATGA